AAAAATTAAAGTATAGTAGGTTTTCAACGTTGAAATGACATTGAAACTTCAACGTTGTGCCAACGTTGAAGCTGCAACGTTGTATCAACGTTGAAATTTCAACGTTGTTTAAACTTTCAAATCCGAATATAAATCCAATCTTATTTCAACGTTGAAATCTAACCATAATTCAACGTTGAAACAACGTCGATGTGCCTGCTGGGTATGTCTGTCCACCATATCTGTATATAACTTTTCACTGATTAAAATTGTTAAAAATCTTTTGTTGCATACTTTAATTGTCTGCATAATCCAGTTGGACATATAATTATTCACATTTCCATTACTTCCGTTGAAAACGGATGTTTACTTTTTGACTATTAAACCAAAAGTTACTTTATACGTGAAAAACACTTCAGGTTGCAAACAACTAAAGTTTAGGGATGTTTTAGTTACTCTGGTGGTGATGTGCTATTGTGGTGAACTTCGAAAAAAAGAATGAATCAAGAAAAAATGGCGGTCATTTTATTGCATTTATTTAGAAAGTAGACCACGTGACCAGATTGTATACTGTTAAAAAGTACTTTGTCTATGTAACAGTACAAAATACTTAGTAACATAGTACACTTACAAGAAGAGTAAAAATAAATTCCAAAGGCCTACGGAAAATTAACACTACGAAAAAAGTAAGGGGTTATAATATTAATTTGCTACTTCAGCTAATGTTATATTAATCATCAGTCCATTTTAAAAGTACTAAACTGGGATTTTATATATTACCGGACAAAATATAATGTTTTTTCGCTGTAACTTTTATTTGAAATAATAAAAAAGAATGAAATTTTACCCAAATAATTGTGGGTTTTTAATATACGTAAATATTCCTTTATTAAACATAAAATTCAACATTTGACCGGGTAGAAATGTGTCTTTTAAAGTAGGGCATTAAAAAGAGGAAAAAATCGTCTAGACAACTCAATTACCCGGACATTGCGTTTAAAAATATTTTGAAGTCTTAAATTGAAAATAAGCAAGGAAACTACGACTATGAATGCAATGTTAAGATACTGAAAAAAAACCCAGTATGTCCACTAAAATAGGACACGACAGCCATGCTTGTTACGAGAGCCAATATAGGGTGTAATTAAAATTAACACTATTAACTCTCAATGAAACATATTGATTCTTCATAAATCCTTTAACGTAAGAAACATTTTGATATTCAAATGGAAATTCTGTTCTTTGTCATACAGTTTCCTTTTTGTCATCATGTAGCATGTTGCAAAAGCCGTAAAACCTATTTTATTTATATACATGTAAAGTTTCCTCCCATGGGCGTAACCCGTTTCCTTATATGTTTTTAATTTGCATTTTTTTGTAAAAGACAACAACAATGAGATGTTGTTTGAACGAAATTTAAAATTACTTTTTATCATTAAAATATGTTACGATTGTCTCCTGAGGTAACGTTGAGAAGAATTAAAAGTAAAACCTATCTAAAATAACCCATTAAGGGCCTCATTATAGGGGATGCGCAGGACAGATTATTCCCCCGCATGACCAGGTCATGGAATAACTAGTAAACAAAAGGGTATTTAAGTAAATAAAGAACTGAATCAAAAATATTTGCCTGAGAGTGGTTTTGTTGTTATTTACTTTGAAGTAGTAAGTGTGTGTACGATTCAGGCCGGATGATTTTTTAATCGAAGCAAAAAATAAAGCCTTATTTGACAGGAATAGATTTTGTCCGGTAAACTGATTTGCCGGTAAACATGTAGGATCCCAGTATAATGAGATGTTTCCAGATTTTTTTTTTAACTAATGATTTCTTATGCTAAAGTGACAACGTAATTGATAAAAGGAAATTATAACCATCTCATATTCCCGCAAAACATATGTCTGATCATTTTGTTTTACAGAACATACAAGCTACAGTAACAAAGCTCCGTCCAGGAGAAAAACACATTACATCATCTGATGTTTCGATTATCACAAACATGGCTGTGTCTGCATTTGATTTCGGATACAACATGTCGTTTCGTTTAAAAAATGACGATTTCATGAGTTTCATTTCATTAATGGTTCGAAAGCCGAGAATAAGTATTCCGTATTTAATCATAATAAGAAGATATGGTCTTTAGGAGGTTCAAGGATGTGTCTGGAAAGAAATCAATTGCATACTTTTATTCTGAAAAAAACTTCATGTAACAGTTTCCCTGCACAGACTCAATCAAACCCAGGCTGCTTTTTTTCTTCCAGATTTTCATACTAAATTCCCAAAACCGCCTTTTCCTATAATATATTTTTGGGGGTTCTAGATTTGGTTAAGGAATTTCCCTTCGTTTAATGCCAAACCCCCCCTTTTAATCTTTGTTTTCATATTTTTAAAAATTCAAATGGCCGCCCAAAAAAAAGGCCCAAATTTGACTAAAAAAATTAAAAAAAAATCCCTTTAAATCCAAAGCGGCAAAAAATTTAAAAAGTTGCAGGCTTTTGAGTTTTTTTGTTTTTTTTTGAATTTAAAAACCCGAGCCTGTTAATTTGGGCCCCCTACTGTCAAATTTCAAACTACCGTCCCGCCCCCCTTTCCCTCCCCAAGGGTTAAGCAGAATTCAACATTTTTTAAACATGAAATTTGGAAAAATTTTTAATTAATAAAAAATCCGCCAAAATGTGTTCAATACCCGGGGGTAATCATGAAACCTTGTTTGTCAGTTGGGGAAAATGCTGTTTCTGCCCTCAAATCTACCCAAGGGCATAATGAGAAATTTTTTTTAAACGATAGAATATATTGACGTTCAAAAGAGAATATATAAATTTGGTAAAAACTATACCCCTTGGTTACTTTTAACGTTTTAAAAACAAAATTTCGGATGTTTCTTTATTTTCACCTTTGTTCATTTTTAAAATTTGTTTAATCCCTGAAATCAAATGAATTTAAATAGAAGAACTTTTTACGCAAAAACCCAGCTTTTCACTAATTTATTTAAAAATTCCATGAACAAAGGCCCCAAACCCAAACTGATCCGGAAAACCCTTTTTAAATTTTTTCCCCTTTTTTTGGTTTTTCTTTAGAGTTTTTTTTTTTTCCCAAAAACCCTTGGGAAAAAAAAAATTTGAATTTAAAAATTGTTTTTTTAAATGAAATCATTTTTATTTTTAAAAGGGTTTTATCTAAGAGATACAACGGGTTTGAAATGTAAAAAGGGAAATTTCCCAATGCCTGCGTTTTGACGATATTTTAAAAAATTTTTACGCTCCCCAAACGGGTTTTAAAACTTTGTAGAGTCATTTGGAAAAAGGGAAAACATTTAGGAGTTACGGAGACTGACTTTTCATTTACGTTATTACGGGTTCCACCTATATGGGACGACAGACCCAAAAAATTTTTATAAAGGGGAAAGCCCCCTGTAATGGTACATTGTATAAATTTATTTTTATATTATTTTTAAATTTTCAATATTCCTTTTGGGCCTTTTTTTAGTGTTTTTTTAAATTTCTCTCTTTTATACCCTTAAAACGATATTTTATATCCCCGGTACCTTTTTGGTGATCTGCATGGGGGTGGGAAAAACCAATAAAAAATTAAATTTTTGGGTCCAGGGTTCTTTAAGTTTTCTTTCTTTAATTTCTAATTTTCTAATTTTTTCTTTTAACTTTTTACCCTGGGATTTTCCATTTAAGGGGTTAAAAATATCTTTTTTATCCCATTTTTAGAATGCATTTTCCCGCTTTTTTTTCCGGGTCTGGAATGGAAAGCAGTCGGTTTTTTTGCTTTTAGACCCCGAGGCAGCCTCGTTTTGGTCCAAGTTGCCCCACAAGGGAAAAGGGGGAAACCCAGATCCTAGCGGGGTTTTGGGGCATTTAAAAAATTTGTCGTGGTCTTGGGGGAAAAACCTTTTTTATCTTTTTCATAAAAATTTTTCTTCTAAAATTTTCAAACATTTTGATTTGTTTTAAACATTATTTTCGCTGGCCCAAAAATTTGACAATGGTTTTTTTCTAAGTGTTGATAACTTAGTATTTATGTGCAAGGTTAAATTGTCAACAGATTATTATGAGGGGCTGCGTTCCTGCGAACTTGCCTTTACCTTGTTGATCTTTATTCTTGTTGCGTTCATTGAACACTGCCTTACCTTGTTGATCTTGTTTATCATATTTTCATATTTTATTCTTGTTTATTTTTATTTTCCAGTATTTCGCACCTTTCTATACACCTATAGGTTTTTATTTCTTTAATTCTCCCCTCCTTCCCCGGGTCTCCTGTCCCCTTCCCCTGTGTCCGTCGACTTTGTGGGCCTATTATTCAATCATTTTTTTTGTTTTCTTTGAATTCCTTATCGGTTACTAAGTATATCTTCTAATGTATCATTTTAATAATTAGCTTGCCCATGTTCTGCCTTTTTTGCCCTGTCCTGATTTTGTTTGGGGTCAACCTGGGCTCCTTGCCACTGGTTCTTGTTGCTGGATCATGTTGGGGTGAATGCCGCCTTTCCTTGTTAATCTTGTTTATCATATTTTTGGTTGTTCAAACAGTTTACCGGAATGTTTGTTTTATCATAGACAACGCAGTAAATTACATCAATCTATATATCAATTATTGGTTCGTTATTTAGCATATAAATGTATAATATAACATCATATTATTTATAGTAGTTTAAATATTGATATAGGTGGGACCGCTGATATTTCTGTACATGAGAAACAACCAAGTGGTCAACTCAAAGAACTCCATAAAGCCAGCGGGGGTCCGTGGGGTGGAAGCTATGTCGACAACAACTATATTTAGTTGCTTAACTAATATTTTCGGAAAAGCTACTATTGATAGATTTTAAAAAGGAACAAATGGCAGATTTCATCGATTTGCATAGAGAATTTGAAACAAAGAAACGAGGAATTAGATTTGACACCGAGAGGGAAAGTAACTTTTAAGGTATATGTAGCTATGATGGACATATTTAAGGACATTGAAAGTCACAGTCTTCAGGAAAGTATAGAAAATGTTGGTCTAAAGTGGCAAAATGTCAATCACAGGTGATAAGCTTAGGGTTGATAGCTCCGTTGTAAAGAGTTGGTTCGACGGTCCTGTGGACAGCATGATTTGTCATGTAAAAGATATATTATCTGAGCCAAAAATGAAAGATGTGAAACTAATGCTCTTAGTAGGTGGCTTCGGGGAGAGTCGATATGTGCAAGATAGAATGGTGAAAGAATTTGGCAGCAAATACGTGATTATCCCGGAAGAAGCGGGACTTGCTGTTCTGAAAGGCGCCGTGAGATTTGGCCACGATCCTGATATAATGTCTGCACGAGTGATGCAGTATACCTACGGGATTCGTATTCTGGTTCCATATGATGAGTTTTTACATCCGTCTAGAAAGTTAAAGGTCGTAAATGGTGAGAAGAAAGCGAAGGATGTGTTTGATAAGTTTGTCACAGTTGGCTCGGAAATTCCTGTCGGATACAAGGTTACTAAGAGGAAAACCCCAAACGATATGAACCGTACATTTATACCTGTATTCAGAGCATCTTCTGATGTTCCGTATTTCACAACAGATCAGGGTTGCATGGAAATCGGATTTCTGGTGATAAATCACCCTGAAGGTAAAAGTCTGCAAGATAAAGTATTTGATGTCACATTCACATTTGGTGATACAGAGCTGTTTGTGGAGGCAAAAATGCTGCATTCTGAAAGAGAATTTAGTTTTGACCATCGACTGCTTGAAATGAAATGTGAGAACAAAATATAAGATATACAATGGAAGATCTATGACATATACGGAATGCATGTTCTCAATTTTTGCTTGATTTAAGATGAATAGAAATGTTTTAATATTTTCTACGCTTTATAGAAATTGGTAAACATATATTCAAGAGTAGAATAATTATTAAACAGATATGTTTGAATGTGCTTGCAAATATATTAGATGTAACGGTGCGCACAGTGAAAAGGAATAGCTGGTTTGTTTATGTAGGAACAAGCTTTGGAAGTTGAATATTGGAACTGTTTTTGAATATAAATCGGTCCATTTATCTTATTTCGTTTGAAAATTTGAAAAAGGCCACTCTGAAATGAGGGAAAACCCCCCGGGGTAAAAGGTTTCCAAAAGTCCCCCCTTTTCTAGGGGAAATTTTCATAAAACCCCAAACCCCCGGGTATTTCAAAAGATTGAAGTATGGATCTGAACTTTCAGTTGCACATGACACGTCGTGTTATTATTTCGAAATTTTGTGCCAAATAGTTTCAAATCCCTTGATTGACGAAAAAGTAATGGATCAGAAACAAAATATACCCTATAATAGATCATGTTTACCTTTGTCCCCAAGTGTGACAAAGACCTTGACAGCAGGGGTCGTGTTGCGCTTGACACGTCGTACTATTATTGTGACCATTTGTGTCAAGTAATTTCAAAATTCCCCGAACAAGCAATTTCAAAATCCCTTTAACGATGAAAAAATATGAAATATACTAACTCTAAAAAAACTTTTGAATTGCATCGATGGATAATCTGTCCAATTTGCAAACAAAAGCGGTTTAAAAATAACCACGTGTGTATATGAGTATTCTTGTCTTGAAAACCCTTAAAAACTGGGCACATACTTTAAGAAAGTTCTATTAATGGTTCTAGTATTTAAAATTTTTAATTTTTAGAAAAAATACCTATTTTAAATTCCCGAGCTCCCGTTCTGAGGAAATTTAAAAAATCTTTCATTTTATTATGAAAACAGTTTGATTTAAAAAACCAAAATAAAATTTCCCTATTTTAAACATCTCTTTTATTTAAAACCGCCTCTCCCCAATTAATAAAAAATTTTCGTTTTTGGGACAAGAAATAAAGTTTTTTGATGGGACATTTTAAAGAAGGAAAAATAAAAAAATTTAAAACCCGGGCTTTTACTGTCAATTTTTGAGGGTTTTTAACCTAAACAAATTATTTTTTATATATCACCCCCCCTTTAAAACGGAAAAAAAATACCCGTAAAAATTTATGCTTTTATATTAATGAAACTTTAAACAGCTTTTTTCGTAAAAGCGAATTTAAAAACCATTGGGAAAAGCAAAAACCCGGGGCAGTGCCCTTAAATTTTTCGCTGACATCAGGCTTTATATGATGCATATATTTTACAATATGGCACATTTAGATTTCAAAATACCCCAAAACGTCATGAGCTATATCCTTGACGTTGTCAGAAAATATGACTTCATTCAAACTTTATTTATATTTGCAATCACAATTCAAACGTCACATGTTAAAGAAATATTTGCGTTAAAACTTTGTCGTCAGAATGTCTCGAAAATCGGTCAATAAGAAAAGTTTGTCAAAAATAAGGCGACCAACTTTTTAGAACGTAAAAAATGATTATGGCTAACAAGAAAAAAAATCCAGGAAGCCACAGCATAGTTTTTGATTAGCATAAATGATACGCCCAGGGTTTCCGTTTTATACATACCTTCTGTTACTGATGTTCTCCTTCATCTTTCGCCCTCATTATCTTAATGTAAATAGAGTTTTTTATGTTTTTATTATTATTTTTATTATAATTATTACTTTATTTTGCAAAACTTGACTACAAAATTTTTGTGCGTACCAATAACCCATGGTACGACATAAAAATGGAAATCATGAAAATGTACATACATGTCTATATATCAAAGTTACGAATTTACGAAAAGTATGGCGGCATATTTCTGCCACCAGATAACCTGATAACTAACTAGTTAATTAAGAGGTTAACTAGTTACGTAACTAGTTAACCTGATATCTAACTAGTTAATTAAGAGGTTAACTAGTTACGTAACTAGTTAACATCTTAATTAACTAGTTAGATATATGGTTATCTGGTGGCAGAAATATGCCACCATAGAAAAGACAGCAGATATTGATAAAATGATTCATCCGCTAATGCTGCATATAAACTAGAAAATGATAAAAATAGAAATCTGGAAAAAAAGTTTGTTGAGGATTTAAACTTGCAACTTCGCGATTGTCTTGTTATCATACTTACCACTAGGACAAACGGCCGTAAGTTTCAAATAATGTATCAAGAACTTTATTATCAAAAATCAACTAGTTAATCATGATAAATTACGGAAACAGACGAAAACTTCGGAAAATTTATCAGTCTCAGGTCAATATTACCAAACAATATTTTTTCCAAATTGTAAATGTATGCATTCTGCATCGGTATAACCATTAAAACCTAGCTGCTATAATTTATTTGAACGAGTTTGTATTGATGCAGTATATCAAAGTCGGTATAAGCATGTAAAGAAGATAAAAGAAACGATAATAAAGTAATAATGGAAAAAAGAGAATATGAAAATACTAAAATGAAAACAACATTGTGCATCAGCAATGATCAAAATCATCAGAACAACAAAGGTCTAGGTACGATTCGAACCCAACATAGAGCGGGGGGAAATGTCACTCGACAATTTTCGGCATTTTTAACCAGTCGTGCTATAGACGCATGCAATTTTTATACCACAATAGTTCCACATTTTGTGTCAAGTACAATGATGACTCGATACGGAATTCTGGACTCTCAAAATAAAAGAAATAAAATAAAAAGATGAAATAAATAAAAGAGGAATGTAAGAGAAAATGAGGTCAGATGGAGTATTTACAAAGTTTTATTTTTTTTAAATAAGTAAAATTGATTATAAGATTATCTATTTATAAGTCAAAATTTGAAAAATGTCCTCGAATTATTTACTATGAAAGGTTAAAGCTTTTTAACGTGATATTGTACATTTTGTAAAGAAAAAAAAAAGATTATAGTTGTAATTGTTTCGCATGACAAAACATATAGTCTATTTAAACCACAGATATATAAGAGATAAAATCAATATCTATATATAAAAAAAACAAAGTAGCAATATTGAACAAAGTTGTGCAATAATTTTAAAATATTATATATACGAATACATTTTAAACTGGCAAATATAGCCCGGCTAGCTCAGTCGATAGAGCATCAGACTTTTAATCTGAGGGTCATGGGTTCAAGTCCCATGCTGGGCGCAAACTTTTTTATTTCGTTTCTCTTTCTTCATAATTTGATCATATTCATGACAATGTCATTACTTTAAGTGGTGCTACTTCTGGTAAAATGTAGACCTTTATGTTATTATTTCCTTATTAATTTAGTGTTTAAAGATTGTTTATCATCGTTAGATACCCGCGGCCGAAACATTATTATAAACATTATATGTTAATCAACCGTTGGTATCCGATAATGATTGTATGTATAAAATATGGGACAAATAAAGTAACATTCTTTTCGCAAACAAATCTGTAAGTACTTTTAACATTTTTGTTATAGATACAAATAAATTGATTTATTAATAAATTGCAATAACGGACAAAGTTGTGCAATACCTTTTATGTATTACATATAAGAATGCATTAATGTTTGCATACATAGCCCGGCTAGCTCAGTCGGTAGAGCATCAGACTTTTAATCTGAGGGTCATGGGTTCGAGTCCCATGTTGGGCGCACATTTTCTTTAATAAGTCAAAGTCATGATAATTTCAAAAAGAGTTACCAACGTTCCCCTCTAAAAGGATGTTGTACATGAATTTCACAGAGTTACAGAGCAATGTAAATTAAACTCTAAGCTATATACAGTCATTTTCCCCTGTTCGGCGCCAATGTCACAGGGTGAGAAAAATGTGCAGGCTGACCGGGACTCGAACCCGGGACCCTCGGAATACCATTCCGCGGCTCTACCAACTGAGCCATCCGGCCGCTTACACATCTCCCTTAAATAGTGAACAGTTCCGAAGGTCCCGGGTTCAAGTCCCGGTCAGGCTGCACATTTTTCCTAACCTGTGACACTAAAAAAATGATACAAATAGAAATTTGGAAAAAAAGTTTGTTTAGGACTTAAACTTGCAACTTCGCGATTGTCTTGTTATCATACTTACAACCAGGACATCCGGCCGTAAGTATCATATAAAGTATCCAGAACTTTACTATCATCGAACATCAATTAGTAAATCATGATAAATTACGGAAACAAACGAAAACTTCCGGATATTAATCAGGTCAATGTTACCAAACAATATTTTTTCCAAATTGTAATTGTAAATGTATGCATGTCCGACAGTGAAATCTGCATCAGTATGACTATAAAAACCTAGCTGCTATAATTTATTTGAATGAGTTTGTATTGTTGCAAGATATTAAAGCGGGTATAAGCATGTAAATAAAAGAAAATATAATAAAGCAATAATGAAAAAAAAGAGAATAGGAAAATACTAAAACGAAAACAACATTGTGCATCAGCAATGATCGAAACAACAAAGGTCTAAGTACGAATCGAACCCAACATTGAACGGGAAAAAGTCACTCGGCGATTTTCGGCATTTTAACCAGTTGTGCTATAGACGGTGCGATTTATATACATGTACCACAATTTTTCAACATTTTGACAGGACTTTATATACAACGATGATTTGATATGGAATTTTGGTCTCTCAAAATGAATAAATATATAATAAATAAATAGATAAATAAACAAAATAAAATACAACGTAAATCCTAGATAAAATAAATAAAAAAGGAATATAAGAGAAAATGAGGTCAGATGGAGTATTTTGCAAAGCTTTATTTTTGAAAAATTAGCAAAATTGATTGTTCGATTATGTATTTATAAGTCAAAATTTGAAATATTTTCTCGAATTATTTATTAAGACAGGTCAATGCTTTTTAACAGGTAAATGTTTTTTAACATAATATTGTAGAG